CGGCGGCGCCAGCTGCAGACCTGGAGGAGGAGGCGGAGCCTGGCGGCAGCGGCGGCGGCGGCGGAGCCAGCAGCTCGTCACCCGTCACCACGGCGGCGGGGGGGAGGCAGCCTGTGGCGGTGGCGGAGGTCGTGCCGCCGGAGGCGGCGGCTGCCGCCGCCGCGGCCGCGGCGGCGCCGCGGCTGAGCCGCGGCCCTATGATGGTGTGTGTTTTCCCCGATCCTGTTTGCCCGAATGCGAACACGGTAACGCAGTATCCATCGAGAGCAGCTTCCACCAGCTCCTGGAGCCCACATGTGTCGTACAGCTCATCCTGAGGTTACGAGGGGGCACCCCGGCGGTTTGGCAGTGCGCGCGCGTGTGTGTAGTGTGTGTATGTGTGTGTGGGTCGCGGGGGTTAATGAATAGGGAGAGGACATGGGTTTTCCACAAACATAAGTATCAGCGTCCGTGCGTATGTCTGTACGTATGTGTGCGGTGTGGGCCGGTAGTACCTGCACCACGCCCACTTCTCCGCCTCCACAAAAGTACGGTACTCTACCCCCGTTAGTTGGTTTACCTGTGTCGTATTTCCGGGCAGACAGGCATCGAACTCGTACGACCTGGCCCCACTCCGGGTTGCCCCGGGGAGTAAGTTGGTGCCGCCAGTCAACCGGTCGGGAAGCAAGACCTGTTCGGGGGAAAGACGCGGCCGGGGGCGCAGGCAAAGGACACGGGGGGAAGGGGGTTTTCATCATCTGCGCACGGCACCCCCAGCTGCCCCGTCTGTTGCCTGATTTGGACAGTGCACGGCCGGCCGGCCGGCAGGCAGCGGTGCTGGCAAGGTACGCATGGGGAACAAGGTGAATGGGGAGTGGGAGGAAAAAAGGAACGGACCACCACCACCACCACCACCACCACTGCAGTAGCAGCAAAGGACTGCCGCATCATCCCTCTGTACCGCACCCACGCGCCCTCACAGACTTCCCAAACCGTCACAAGGTCCGCGACCTCCACCGGCCGGGGATAACCCCTCTCGCTTTCCCCACCCGCAATGCCCCTGCACCCTCCCACCCGCTTGAAAGGCTCCTGCTGCTGCTGCGAGCTGGGGAGTGGGACGCTCCTTGCCTAACCCCCCTTCTCCTTCCTCCCTCCCTCCTTCCCTTTCCCCCTCCTCAATCATCCGGACACTTCCTCCCCCTCCCCCCCACACACACGCGTATTTCTGGTTTTGGAGCCAATGGCACGCCAGAGAAACCCACCTCTTCAGCTCCCCCCGTGTATCCCCCCTTTCGTCCCTCTGACACGGCCCCCGGTAAAACCCCATCCGGGGGCGTGTCAGAGGGCTTTAGCTGTTCGGCCAGCCGTCTGATAGGAGCCTGTCAAGAGTTCCTTCACGCCCGCGGCCCCGTCTCTTCCCCTTCCCAGTTTTGCTTGAGTCAGTGGGTGTGGGAGGGTGAGGCGCTACTTTCCTCCCTTAAACTATTTCCCGGGTTGGTTGGTTGCTAACTTTACCCCGCCGCTTTTTTTGTCTACGAAGCTCAACCTGCCGTGGACCTGTGCTGACGAGTCGGCGGCACTCGAATGAGATGAAAGCTATAGCCGCTGAGTACCTTCGCCCCGCCTGCGGCAGACGGGGTGTTTCCAGGGACAGGGCCAGAAAGTCCCTCACCTGAAGCTTCCGGGCATCCGGGGAGCAAGTCACCGCCACCTCATCTGTAAGCTCGTGGGGCAGGACTGGCCGCACGCGCACGACGACCTGTAGAGTTCCAGCGGGCGATGGCAAGGAACGGCGCCAGGCCGTCCGCGGCGGAAAGAGCTGTGTAAGGACAGGGTGTCTGGTGTATGAGTCAGGATGTTTAGCTCTTTCTGACCTGGATGCGGTTGGGCTGCTCCGAAGTGTCGTCACTAGCCTGCATGGTTAGAGCTCCTAGCGATGTCGGACCTTTGTCACGCTAAGTTGGGCCATGGCTTATGCCATGACCCAGTATTGATATAACGCATACTATCCCATGAGGTAAGCATGCGATCCTCAGGGCGAGCGTCGGTTTTGGGATGTAAAGACTTCAGTAAACGCTTGAGGAACGAAATCGCGTAATATCCTGAATCGAAGGGAATTGCTACTTATGGCATTAATACAATGCTACTGTAGCAACAGCGCCCAGGCGACAATGCGAGCCTGTGGGCCGAGCAAGTGCCGTATAAATGGAAAGTCCGACGTTCTTCGAGGCTGTCTTTAGCACGGACATCTCCTACTTGCAGGTTAAGAGTATGTAATATGAGAAGCAGCGATATCCATTCCCAGCTCGTCTTCTGTTATCTTCAATAGGCGTTTTACTTTCGGTAGGCAACCCTCGCCAACTATGAACAACAACAAGCTTGATGAGCCAGCTCTGCTGGCTGGTTGCAAGGGTGTATTCTCAAAGTCCAGCTACGTCACCATCGGTACAGAAGGGTGCGCGTCGTTGCTGCTTTAGAGCTCTGTGTTATGCGCCTCACCTTTACTAGGAGCTGCTGCTAAGACTGCTCTGGCTGACTGGATATTATCCATCTTATATCCTTGGCTGCAATCACGACAGGAAACCCGAGGAGTATGGGAAGAAGCTCCCGATGCGCTCCGCGTATGGGGGCAAGCATCTGAGCACAGTGCCACCAAAGGATGGCAAGACTGTGGACGTATATTTTGAGAAGAAGCACAACTGGATAAGCTCGGTGCGTGATTGCCTAGGGGTCGCATGCCTTCAATTGCATGGCCTTAGTGCGTGTCGCCGTCGGATATGGCACACCTCTTCGACAAATCTGCACTAATATCATCAATTTTATTATCTGCGCAGGGTGACCCGTATGTCGACCGCATCCGCTACAAGGACATCCAGACAGAGAAGAAACGAGGTTTCCAAACGTCTGACTTTTCCAAGCGTGACGAGTTCACGAACACCATTCGCACTGAGCAATGGCGCGAGCAGCTCCAGGTTGGTATACCAAGCCGACTCCCTGCAAGGCAATTCGCTGTGGGGCTGCACACGCAGAGTTCCCGGTGCTTCTGGGCAATTTGCGCACTTTGTATCAATAGAAGTACAAAAGGGATGCGGATTTCCGAGCTGTTGTGGCAATACCTGTTAGAGCAGCATGCAACACCTCGGGGGGTCCAGACGTTCTGCGCCGGGTGGGCATGACCGCAAGGTCGTATGCTGCCAAAATGAAGGATACCTCGTCTGATTCCCCACACACCCATTACGTTCATACTCTGCTTCTTGGGACGCGTAAAGGCACTCCACAGGCCAATACGAACTCCCTTGCCGCCATCATTAATCGCATGCATGCGGCCGACATGCGGCGATCATAGCCCTCCGCACCCCCTATGGGTCAGCACAGGCCACCGCTGATGCCAGCGCCTAAATTCACCTCTGCATACCTACTCAAAAAAGCACCCTGCGTCTGCCTTATCCCGCGTGCTGACAGTTTTTCTGTTCCTGACAACCTGGCATATGGTCGTACGCAACCCGGCACTCCCACATCTTACTTGTACCCACAGGCGGAGAACCAACACGCAAAGAAGGCGCTCGACATGTTTGCGGAAGCGACCGGGATGACCTCGATACCCACATCCATCCGAAGAGCTGCAGAGGCGGAGACGGTGAGAATAGCCTGGCAGGGGGCAGCGCATGAAAGCAGAAGAGGGCGTGGTGGGCGCTTTCGAATGCTGGGCCTCACGGGGATGATTGTACCTTTGGCTTACAATGCCGTACAGTGCTGTTGAGCAGTCTATGCGATGGTGAAACCTGCTCATTGCTGAAAGCAACGCCCTTGCTACTGGGGGGACCTTTACGTCATGCTTTACGTCTGCTTGGGTAGTGGCACGCAGACATTCTTCCTGTCGCTTTCTTCCTGTCGCTTTCTTTGCTCGAAACAAACGCTTCGCTTACGTGTCTTAAAGTCCTCCCCACTTTACACCGGGCCCCCAAAACCACCGACATGCCCTTTGTCGCCAAACCCCCCGCCTTCCTTGCCACACGCTTCGGTCCCCGGCTCGCTCCTTCCACACACGACAGTTTGCGTACGATCAAGTTTATGAGAAGGAAGATCCCACGTTTGACGGCGCCAGCAAGACGCATCGCGACACGAAGAACCGCACAATGCTCAGCCGCGAACGACAGCAAGGAGAGCTCATGACGACTACAGGGCTGGCTTTCCAAGCACCCGACGACCACCACAAGCCGGAGCATGGGCGAAAGCCGATTGTACGGGAGACATTCTACCGGAAGACGAACATTTTCTTCCCGGAGGGTTGCGCAGCCGATCCCTCTACGTGATTTCCTCTGGCCTGAAGCAGCGCTATATGCCGCTCTTGGGGGTATCAAGGGGGACCATGGCATATTTGGACCGACCATGGCATCTTATCGTGATGCCGCGGATCCGGAAGGAAAGTGGTAGTGGGACCACTGGACGTTCCGGTATGTCGTGTGTGGGTACACTTGTGGGCGCAAGGGTAAATGGTTGGAAGACACAATTTAGGTGTTTTGCAGGTTTTGCTTTTGCCGCTTTGGGTTTCGGCTCGGGAGGTGGCAGGGGCTTGTGTTTGTGTGGGTGTGTTTGCGTGGGTGGATGGTTGGACCTCAAGCTGACTGGAGCATTGCAGAGGTAACCTCTTCAGCGTGGCAACCATTACCCTTGAGCAGCAGCAACAGCAGTAGCTATCGCTACAGCACGCGGCGGCCGCGGCTGCGGGCACGGCTGGAGAGCTACGGCTGTTGCTATCTGTCCGCTATCCTCTTGTTCGATGTACTCTCCTGTGAGCGGTGGGAGGGGGAGGAGCCGTAGGGAGGACAGCAGGGTGCGCAGCAGGGTTTGTGTTTTGGTGCGGTGACCACCGCGGTACTGGACAGGACTGACTCGGACTGTGGCCACTGCCATTTTGGCGCATCACCATCATGATGAGCAGCAGCAGATCGCGCTTCGTGTGCCGTGTAAGCCGTACCACGTATGTAGCTGGGGGAGGGAGAGGGAGGAAGGACGGGGAGGCCGTGCGGCCTTTGCTTTGTTGGAGATAAGGCGAGACGAATGACGCCTTGGCGGTCTGGCTGTGCGGTAAGGTGGTTTGACCTGGTGAATGGTCAGGGAGGGTCTGTTTACGTGCTTTCCTCCCTATCCCTCCAAACTCAGCCAAGATGGCGGCGAAGACGAGCCTCGAAAGGCTACGTCATGCTTACTGTGACCCTTTGAACCTTTCATCTCAAGCTGACGGCAAACCGTGGATTGCGCTGAATGATGCCAGGACGTAGATTACATAGCTGTCTCCTCCCTTTTTACTGTTCAAGCATATAGCAGCATTCGGAACGCACACATAGCGCAGGTACATAGGAAATGAGGGCTCTAGCTTGTGGATGTGGACTATTGTACGACAGTGATGGTACGAAAGTCGGTTGGGTTGAACTGCTGCTAGGATGGACATCAGGAAGGTTTTTTATCGGTCTCGACTGGGCGCCTGGGCCAATTGTGAGCTTGTCTTGGACTGCCAGATACGTCCGGTCGTTCAGTGTTTCTCCTGCTGGATGGCTCTGCTGGATGGTTCTGGAAAGGTGTGGGTGCGCGAACTCTGTCGGGGCCGTGGTTAGGGATGTTATGCTCTTTGACTGCCCCTCGCAACGACTGTGGTACGTCACACACGGACATCCCCTGTGTGTTTATGTCTGTCTTTGCGTGCATTATTCATTCATGTACTATGGTGTACATACGTATATGTGGCAGCCAGGCAAGGCAGGGACTTGTTTTTTAAACTGGTGGTCCCATGCGGCTCCACTCCCAGTGAAGACACGGTTTCACACGCCACCTCACCCGTCAACACGTTCATTATCGAGGGTGCGGGCCCAGAGGGGAGGACTTCTGGGCCAGCAGTTCCATGTACGACGCGGCTCCGAACGAAGCGATTGGGCTTCGCATCCACGGCAATTTCTTGATCCCGAAAGTGGGTGTAATGATGATAATGATGATCATGTTAGTAATGGTGGTCATGGTGACGATTTTGAACATGTGCTGTTGGCAGGGTGGAGATGTGCCTCAAAGCGCCCATCATCCGATTCGTCATCCGCAGAAGTGCTACAAAAAAGCCGTATCTATTCTCGCACCTCTCCGCTTCACTACACACAGCACGTACGATGGCCGTACTGTCAGCGTATTCTCCAACAAGTTTGTAACTCTGCATCAGAGCGAGGAGAGATCTGACCTCCCCCCATCAGAGCTTTGCTGGTCCCATGCCACGTGAAACTTTTGGAGCAGCGTCCATCCCCTCACGTTTGAGGAGGCGTTTGGCAGGATGGCGGCTTTCTGGTGCAAGGAACATGTTTGTGCGGCCGCTCCCGTGGCCGAAAACGGCGATTTACTCCTGTTAAGGAATCTATGTTTTTTAAATAAAAAACATTGGTCATGCAACAGCATCCGCACACTCTTCACCCAAAACAAAAAGTGTACGGAGACCTTGGGGTCCATCCAGAAGTTTATTGCCCTGCCCCCTGCTACCGCACCTGCCTGCCAAGGTGCAGCCAAGCAAATCGGTAGGTCCGTATCATTAACCCACCCTATCTCATTCCCGCAACCGAGGAGTGCAACGGAGCGCACTGGACCGAGTTCAAATGGAGTACACCCCCTCGCCCTTAATCCATGTCCTCGAACTCCTCATCCTGTACAACGGTGGGCAACGTCGCCTCCACCGCCTCCTCCGCCGGCCTCGAGTGACGCTCCAAGAACTGACGTGCCTCCCACGGTGCCACCGCGCCACCGTCGTCCTCGAACAGCGCCGCGTCACCGCCGCCGCTGCTGCCACCGCTGCCACCGCCGCCGGCGGGCGGGCGGTGTCGGGTAAGGTCTTCTGCGGTGATGAGGCTGATGCCTTGCGTCGCCATCTCGGACACGAAGGCACCGCGGTCTTCAGAGCGACACCTTTTGTAGCGGTGGGGTGGGGTGGGGAAAGGGAAAAGACGACCCAGACAGAGCACGAGGGGTCGTAACAATAGGCTACCATAACACGAGTGCCAAAAGGGGATTGCGGCGCCAGTACGGCATGTACGGCATGTATACCCCCCAGGAGCGCTTGCTCACAGGGTGTTGCTTCCTCCTCTTAACCTCCCGAACCACTACCACCACCTCATCACCATGCTTGATTGGGTCAACCCAGCTGAAATGGAAACCCATCAGCCATCTGTCCAACAAAACCTCACTCACCATTCCACAAAGCCCTGCAGGAAGCGGTTGAAGGCACCCGCTCGTCCAGTAGCGGTACAGCCCGCCCTCAGAGCTTCAAGGCACTGCAGGGAGGGCGGGGGTTAGGACGAACCACTGACGATTGAAGCAGATACCAGAGGTAGATATCTGGTATCTGAGGATACCAGGGATAGACGGATAGTCCAGAATTAGATACAGATACTGCATCATGAATATTTGCAAGTTACATGACTCGGATAGTAGCCATGGTGGCGACGTGACCAGCTAGATTACCAAACGAGTTACAAGCTGCTGAGTCCACAGAAGGAAACGCTAAGCAGCGAAATGACTATCTAGCCGCCGAGACGAAAGAAAAAAATCGTAAAGAAAGCAGAGAAGTAAAAGAAAACGGAGGGCGGGGAGGAGACTGGAGAGCAAGGCAGGGGGGAAGGATGGTGAGGTAATTGTATGATGCAAAGAGGAGGAGGTCAAGGAGTTCAAGGAAAGGAGTGCCGACGTGAAAGGCAGACAGGCAGGTAGGCTAGGACGGCGGCGAATCTTCTGGAAGGCGTTCTCCGGGACCCCCCATGAAGGGACATGAACGATGCGACACGCCGAGTAGAACCCCCGGTATAATCCTAGGACTCCTGTGACCTCCAACCCCCAATTCAACGTCAGTGCTGCAAAACAAGTCTCAAACCCCCTCCCCCCTCCAGCACGTGCCGTACGTGGGTTTCCAGATATCGCTCACGTACCTTGAGCGCCTTGCCGTACAGCTGGTCGCCTATTGAGCGGCCGACTAACACTTGTACCAGCTCCTGCATTTGCCGTACGGCCTCCATGGCGGAGCTGGTGGGATGGGTTGGAGGGCCGGGGGAAGCAGAGTGACGGCGGGGTACGGCGGGTTTCGCTATGCAAAACGCGACGTGAGTGGAAAGGTTGTTCCTTTTTGACTTCTTTTGCAATAATTCCCCCCTGCCCCCAGGCCCCCCTACGGACACGCACACGCCACGTCAAGACCCGACCACTCACTCGCGTCCTTGCGCCATCATCGCTGTGAAGTCCTCCACCGCGCTCAGCTCGGCCACACGACCCACACGAGCAGCAGCCGTGCCGCCAGCCGCTGTGGGGTCGAACAACACAGTAACCGGAGCCGCTGCCGCTGACTCGGATAGTTGGCCGGCAGCGGCGGCTGCGTCTTCGGCGCCTTGGCCGCCCCCCTCCTGTTCCAGTCGGGCCCTCTTGGAGGCCCTCGGGCTTCCAGGCACGCGATCTGTTTGGATCCCACCAACCAAGAGGACACACAAAAAGGGGAGAGAGATCAAGGGGGGGGAGGGAGGGAGAGAGGGAAAGTGAAGGCGGGACGGAGTAATTGTCAAGGGAGTAAGGGAGAAACATTTGGGGATGGGAGGGAGGAGACAGCGGTGCATCCCCATACCAAGCCAACGTCCTTTCATGCTGCTGTAGCAGCGGTAGCGGCGGCGGCGACGACTACTGCCATCATCAAGGAGCGGTTGCGCACGCTGTTGGGGTTGTCTCGATGGAGCTGAAGGACAACCTCATGAAGAAGCGCCATCCCCGGGACACACATACGCACACAAACCCACCCCGAGTACGGAGCTTCTCCTCCGCCCGTCGTAACGCCTCCCGCGCCCCCGGCGGCCAGTAACGCCCGTGTGGCTGTAGCACCAGCTCGACCAGGGGGTCGCCCTCAGGGTCCGGTAGCTACAGCGGTACGGAAGAGGGGGAGGGAAATGCGTGGAGGGATTAATCGCATCCCTATGGGCAGCAAGGAATGCTGGCGCTCAAATGCGGGGAAATACAATACCCGCGAACACGCAGGAATTTTAAATACCACCATAAACCGTCATAAGACGTCAAGTTTTTCATCCCCCCCCGCGCGAGTAGCGCGCTTCCAGGTCCTCCCTCTCGCAGCCAAGCAAGCAGACTCCTCACTTGGGCTGTGGGATCCAGAGCTCGCGACGTGACCAGCGTGTACACCCGCTGCAGCACCGGGTTCGCGGTGGCCTCGGGCGCCAGCGCCTCGGGGTGGGGCTCGCGGGTCGCGCAACCGCCACCAATGCCCAGCAGCGGGGAGGGGCCCAGGTCCAAACCTCGGACCAGCGCCAGCGCCGCATCCTGACAGCAAGGGAAAGGGAATCATATGATGGCGATGAAGATGATGAAGATGATGAAGATGGTGATAATTATGGTGATAATTATGGTGCAAGAAGCAAAAGATCAACTGCCGATACGTCCAAAGCCGAAAAAAATAGAGATGGTGGGTGGGGAAAATACAGGACAGGGGTGTAGCGGGTCATGAGGCTACATTGGGCACGTCATGGGAAACAAAGAGGACTGGCAAACCACGGGAGACACGGGGCATAGGGCCCAATTGCGAGGGAGAGGGTGGGGAACTTGCAAGCATAGGAGCACAGGGTCATGCGAACGCAAACGGTGAACCGGGGGGGGAGAGGCAGTACGAGCTGGACTAGAATAGATCAGTATAGGCAATCTGTATTGTAAGAACGGGACAATTAAGCCTCTTCGATTTATACCTTAATAGCTCATTTTCCTTTGCAAGCAAAACTCGTTCCACTGTACGAAACATGTCGTACATGTGCTGCACCATACGCCGGGGCGCACTGTACCGTACCTGCTGTTCGTCATCCGGCTGGAGCCGCTCAAAACGCAGCCCTGGCTCCGGTGCAGTTGTGGCTGCACCTAGTCCGCCTAATAGCCCGTTGCTGCTACTGCCATTGCTGCTGCTGCCGCCAGCCAACAGGACGCCCTGGGTAAGGGGGTCTGCGGCCACCGCCGCGGCCGGCGGCGGCGACGGCGGCGGCTCCTCGCCGCGCGCCTCCGCCAGCAGCCTGGGCAGCTCCCTCGCCTCCTGTTCGTTGCGGAACGTGCTGAAGGTGTACGTCCGTATGTCCTCCGCGAATGGCAGCGGACTTAGCAGCAGCGCATGTGGTACGTCGGGGGAGTTGCTGAGGTGGGGGGTCAGGAGGCCCAGCTGAGGGGACTCCTTGCGGATGAGGAAGCGGACCACTGCGGGGGGTGTGTGCGCGCGCGTATGTGTGTATGGGTGTCGGGGGGAAGAGGGACAATCATTATTTTATGCAATGAGTGTAAACGGAGAGGTGTGTGGAAATATAATATCAGGTATATAAACGTCAAGGTAGCAGCTGCTGATGCCCAAATAGTTTGGGATAGGGGAAAGTCAATCGAGAGAGAGAGAGAGAGAGAGAGAGTGTGTGTGTCACCACGACCCTCCCTCCCCTTCCGCTTACCCCCTGCCTGGCCACGCTCCTTGAGCACCAGCGCCAGTGCGGCGATGACCGCTGCCGAGGACGGCGAATCACCCAGCACCACATGGGGCTCCTGCGGACATACGTACAGACAGACAGACGTAGAGATACACAAGAGACATACAAGATAAACACACACACACACACACCAGGCACAGAGGCGTATGTGGTCACACATACAGATGCACAGGCACGCGTCACAGATCATTAAAACACACAGGCACGCGTGTACACGCGCGCCATCCTGGGGCACTTTCTCCTCGTGCACTAGTTCGTAAAGACACTACCTTGCACACGCGCAGACAGCGAGCAGATGGGGCCCACTACCAAGGCATGCTGGACATAATGGTGGGCCCGGAAGGAGGGGAGGGGGAAATTCGGGATACGAAACACACACACAAACACACACAGACACAGACATATACGCGTGTGCAAAGTGATGTGTTTCAAACATGCAGGATGTACGCCGTCACATCTCAACCGCAGACCTTATTCCCGCCCTTTATTATAGCCAACTAACTAAATAACACTAACCGATTGACAACCAACCCGCCAGACTTCGTTTACTCCCCTTCATCCCCTGCCCAGTAAGACACGAACCCCCCCCACACACACGTCAGCAACTTACGTCAATCAGTCGGTGGTGTGGTACGCTACCCGCGTTGACGAAACCCAGCAGACTAAAATCCTTCTCTCTGAACTTGCGCATCTGCTCGTCCATCGCGTGGGCCTGCTCGTCAGTGTACTGCGCAATGGGTACGGCCTGCTTGCCGTACGAGAAGCCCTTGACTATAAAGTCGTCTCTAGTGAACTTTTGACCAGTTGTTGGGTCTTCGTACTCCACCTCCCGTACGAAACCCGGGTCGGTGCCGCCACCGGGTCCCCCGCCGCCACCGTCGCCGCCACCGTCGCCGTCGCCTCCGCCGCCACCGTTGCCTCCGCCGCCACCGCCGCCGGGTCCGTCACCTTCGGCAGGGTATTCGGCGAAACGCCAGAGGGGATAAGCTCTTCATTGCGAGAAGAAAATTCCTTCGCAAGGATCAAATTACGAGACACTTTTGTATGATACAATATATATAATATAAAATATACAAATATATACAATATGTGTGTATATATTGTTTACCACATAACTTCAAAACATATTCGTAACACCGAAATGAGTATATGGGGGGCTCCTGCGTGTTGCGAGTCCGGGACATGAGGTTACCGGTGGGGGGAGTTCAGCTTATGCTCCGCACCCCCCTGCCCGCCCCTCCCCTCCGCTGCCCTCCTCTGCCCACCTCCTCCTCCCTGTTCCCCCTCTCCCCCTCCCCGCTTGGGGTCCAAGATCGTCTTCCACTCGTCCACAATCGTACGGCGGATTTTCTTGTACAGCTTGACCTGCGAATTACGAAAACAGCGGGTGCCGTATCTTAGAGAGAACACACAAGCGATGGGTACGCGTAGGGAGAAAGAGAAATAAACGGAATCCGTTTGAAAGTGGGCCGCGGGGCCGGGGATCACACGAGTCGCCAGAAATTGGCAAAATCAACAGAGAAAGGGGCGATTTGGGGTCGCACATCGTCGTCCTGTCCTCTCCCCTCGCCTCCCTCTCCTTCCCCCTCCACGCAAAGCACCCTACCGCGATACGCGTGTGCGTATGTGTGCATGCACGTGCTTTCTCTCTTTAGCCCTTCGATGAGTAACCCCTCCCCGCCCCGCGGCCCCAACCTGTGTCCCCGTCAACCCTTTCTTCCCGCCGTACATTAACCAACAGGGGGCCCGACGTCCCCGCCTTGTCAACATCTTCCGTTGGTGGCCTTGGGGTCAGCCTGCGGTACGGCGTGTTTTACGACGGGGGGGTGTTTTACGGCGTGTTTTACGACGGGACCACGCGTAAATCATACACATCCACAGAACGATCTGAGAACGGCACGTGATGAATATGCAGAAACAGTGAAGGACAGTGTATTGCCGTACAGGCTGACCCGGGTTGGTACGGCACATGCTACCCTACTGAGGGTAAGGGCATGGAAGGATCCCAGGGGGAGGGGGGGTGAACTTGTGCACGAAGCAAAGGATCAAGGGAGGAAAAAAGGAAGGGGGGACCAAAGGTGCTTTGAAACGCAAAATGCGAATTGCAAAATGCGAGAAAAACAATTGTCGACAACAAAGGGTCGCGGGGCGGGATGTGCGACATGGGCGGGAAAGGGTTGGAGAAATAAGTTCTCAGATTTCTGAGCACCAAGCCACCCCATATCCCCCCTCCCACTCGCCCCATTCCCTCCCAAGCCCTTTTTCGTTCAGTAGACACTTTTTGTTCGTAGGCTCCCCGCCACGCACACATACAGACGAACAGGCATACACCCGTACAAAACGTACACAACCCCAACCCCAGAATCGTTTAAATGCCATGACATACATGAATACGGCGTTGGAGGCCTGGTACGACACTTCTTTGGCGCGGAACAGGCACAGCAGCTCCGCGGGTTGCCGCAGGTGCCTGATTAGGAAACGGAGGGCGGGGGCCCGGAGGGAAGAATGCGAGAGGGGGACGTTGGCGGCTCAAGCGGGAGGCGAGGGTACGGCTAGACCCATGGGTCGTACGCCTCCCCTCGCTAGGTTTTACGTTCCTCCTGAACTTCCCACCTTACATACATACCGGCAGGCACGGCCGTGACTTTGTTGTTGTCAGACTCAGCAAAGCGCCCCCGCGGACCCCTCCCGGGTCCTATTACTGCTGTCCCATTTCCTGGTACTATATATGAGTGAAACAGGGGGGTTGTATCTTCGCCCGTGGCAGCTACCCTGCGAAACCCTGCCTTTCCCGGTATTTCGGGGCACCCTCATCCAGTCACTCTAGCCAACTTCACAGTGGATCGCTCAGATTCCGCACCCACCACAAGCATCCAACGGAATCTGCCGGATCGACAGCGGCGCAACTCCATTCCTGGTCGGCTCGCAGGTTAACTTTATCCCAGGTCACCATCGTCCATCAACTAGGGGCGCAATGCCTTCCACCATCGGGAGGACTTTGACCCTAACGGGTATCGATCCCGGGATCTCCCGGGGGCAATGGTCGCGCCTTACCAGTGGTGCCAAACCCTATATATGGTATTATGTATGCGTGAGTGTCGGTCACTTTCCAACATTTGTCCAGTTTTCTCTTCTCACCACCGGAACCCCCTATACCACCGACGACCGACCACAATCGCAACCAACGGCCGCCAGTACGGCACCCACCTAAACGCCGCCGGCGCCATCTCCGCCTTCAAGAGGTGCAGCTGCTCCAAGTTGCGCCGTCGCGACGCCGCCAGCGGCGGCGGCAACAACGCAAGCGTGTCCTCGCCCTCCGCCGCCAGCAATGCCGTACCCTTACCGCCACCGACGCAGCTGACACCGCCGTCGACATCCGCTACCTCTGCCGTCGGGGCCCCCGCCCCCGCCGCCGCTACTTGCGGCACGTAGTGATCCAGTGCCGCCACCTCCAGCAGTATTCGTTTGTTGGTGCACGTCTCCACCAGCGTATTCCGGAAGTCCTCATCGAAGGGCTCCGACTGATTACAACGGGAAAAAGAAGAGCGGGAACGGAAGGGCTTGCATGTCTTAGGCTTGAAGGGGCGGGGGGGGGTTGTTTCCATTAAGGACGGGCACTTGAACCACCTGACTGACCCGGTCAGATGGCCAATCCTCTTCCCCAGCGCCTCACCGCGCGGAGTTCAAGCTCTGTGAAAGAGATCATCAGCCCCAGACGGGCCAGACGTGGCCACAGACAGATACAGATACAGACAGCTCCCCATGCACCGCCCCGGGGAACCAGTTGGAGTGAGAGGGTGGGGTTTACACATGCACCCTCAGTGCCGCACGTTTACAGAGCCACCCACCTCCCCCACCAAGTTGGACACCAGCAGCACCCGCAGCTGCCCCAGCTTGCCGGCCTCCTTCTTGTCCCGCTCGAACCGCTCATCAAGGGCAGACGCCAACAAATCGAGCGCCACGACAAGACCATCGGCCCAGTCGGACTTGGGCCCCGGAGGACCGAACACCCGCGCCGCCCGACCCACAGCCGCAGCCTCCGCCGCCGCGTCGCGGCCCCCCGCCAAACCCGCCGCCTCCACGCGTGCTAGCAGCGCCACCTCCGCCGCCGCCTCTGCGTCCGCCGCCTCCGCCGGGTGGTCCGGGGACGCGGCGGCGCAGGTGGCGGCGGCTTCGCCGCCATGCCCTTCGGCACCCCGCGGCGGGTCAGCGGCGAATGCAAAGGACTGCAGGTCCAGATAGGAGCCCAGGTTCTGGAGCGGGCGCAATACGGTAACGTGATGGTACGACAGCGGGTCGGATGCGTCGTACAGCTTGTGGCGGGTGCCTGGATGTGAGGGGTTCATGTCCGCAATCGGTTGTTGTAAAAGCGGAGGCAGAACGGGTTAGTGGCGAAGGCGTTGGGTCGTACCTGAATTTATCTTCTCATCAGGGGGTTTCGGCTTGGGCCTGTCCCCCTCAAAAATCTGCTTTCCTCCCACCCCAACTACGACAACGAATGTAACAGAGGGTTTGGTTTCACGCCCTGTCCCTGGACCTTGCGTCAGCCGTACCTTTGGTGCCGTAAAGTACGACAGCCACTTCATGATTGGGCTTGCTCAACAGCTGCGGCGAGGGATTTAGGGGGGGAGGGGCGGAAAGCAGGGGCCGGGTGAGCCGGTGGCTCGGGTTGGGTTGCTTTGGGTTGCGGTAAGATGTAGGAAGGCAGGGCAAGGATGACGCATGGCGTGCCGGAGGTGGGGCTGCACGAGGATGCAATGAAGGTGATGATCACCTGCCCACATGTCCAAGCCCTTCCGCGGGGACTGGCGGAAGGGGGTGGCATAAGGCACACCGGGTCCCGGGAGTGAGGGAGCTTAGCGCTCGTGGGTGGGTGGGCGGAGGTAAGTGTCCAGGGCCCGGGATAGCCGCGCATGCTGATTCTCCTCCTGATTCCTCCGACCCCTCTTCGCTAGTTTCTGCGTGGGAAACACCAGACACCTAAACGAATTCCCAGACAGGTGCGGGTACGGAATGCAGCTTGTTACGTTGGCAGCGTCGTAGCTTACTTTGACATTGAGGACATGAAAAACTAGGCGGTGTAGCAGGGGCAGGTAGGGCTGCATGTGCTCGCCCACATCCAGCAGAAGCACCAGGAGGTCCTGGGAAGCGACCACGCGGTAAAAGGGGCCGCGGAGATTCGCGTTGTGCGCGGGTGGGGCGGCGACTTGCGTGCTTATAGGGGGCCTTCGGAAAGGCGGAAAGTTAAGATTTCGTGCAGGACAGACAAGGTGCAAGGCACCCAACATGTGAACTTTCTTATTACGTATTATAGTTTGAGGAGGTATCAACCACAGACGGGCGGCTTGTTACAGATGGGATTGGCGTACCCCGGAGGTTGGAAAGACGTAAAGTTTAAGCTGCAGAGTAACCTCTCACTTTTTTTGTCGCCATCTCCCCATATGCTGTCCGCCTGTACAATCAAGGTTGCGGAACTTATGTGCAATCAACTTGTCATCGCTCATGGAATTTTGTGTAATGGTTATCTTATCGAATCTTCAAGAGAAGTGCAACTCAGTCTTGTGGATTTCGGCTTACGCCGAGCACTTCGCGTATGCTCAACGCAATTCCGTCACAGCATATCACACGGCGCATGCCGTACGGCCTGGATCCCAAACCTGCTGCTTTTCTACTGGGACTTTAATACGAGAGTAGTACGAAAATGCTACGGTGTTTGGCTGTGGATGTCAATGTGACCGCGCGAAGTTCAGCACTTTGGAGCAGGACCTGGTGCTTGCCCGGACCTGTTTGGCATGTTGATATGCACCTTAACATTGACATAATGCTTTGGTATATAAGTGGGCTGGATAAAGCTTGCGGCAATTGCCAGGCACACCCAGGCTCTGGGAATAAGACAGCTGGCGGAGTTGGCGGGTAATCACTGTCCACCAGAACTGGCGCGGAGTTGCGAGTGCAGCACATGAAGTTGTATTAGATGGCAAAATGATATGAACCGTATGCTTTTGTTTTAGTTGGTCACGATGAAGACGAAGGACGCAAGCAACTCCTGTGCATTCTCTTGGCGATGTGGTAAATAGGATAGGACAGGATGATCATTTGCTTTGGGCTGGAGATTTTAATTTTGTCCATAATCCGATGCTAGATTCCACCACAGGAGAAGGGAGTAGACCCGCGGACTTATCCTTAGCTAAGGCTTTCTCCGAATGCTGCCCGGATATGGTAGACACATATCGCTACCTCCACCCTACCCGTCGCGACCTTTCGTTTTTCTATAAAACAAGTGTGTCGGGAGGGTCACGTCTTGATCGAATCTATACTTCCACAAACCTCACCCCCTTCATCGCTTCCTCTACCATTCCAGTGTGCACTTCGACAGACCATCGTTTAGCTATTATTGCTCTTTTACCTCGTCTTGTGAGAAAGCGTGGTCCAGGCCTTCCAAGGCTACACACGCATTTCTTAGATTTTCCTGACTTGAAGGGAAGCTTCTTGCAATGGATTGGTGATGAGTGTGCGCAGAGACCCGCTGAGACAGACACAGTAGCTATGCTACAATGGTGGCCGTTGTTTAAACATCGAATGTTCAATGAAGTAAATGTTCTTAATCGGCAAGCGCGAGAACGTCGTTTTCCCCCGGGGGGGCAACTACGTTTGGCAATAGAACATGCAACAAGGGCACTGGAAGATGTGCAGACCGAACATATGAGTGCACAGAGAATCCAAGCGGCAATTGACGCCCAAGTAGCGGTTGTACAAGCGGCTAGAGCTG